AATTGGCAATGTAGGGTAACCTTCATAAAAATTTCTTTCATGGCCGAAATTTATGTTTTCATTTATTTATTTATTTTTTTAAAAATCGATTGATAAGTCTTTCACGTGGCAGGCTATATTCAATTCCTTCACAGTACAAGTTTGAACTCAAGTGTGGATTGTTAACAACGTGCCAATACCTAATTGTTGATGTCAAAGGTATTAGAAATTTTGGAGTGATACTCATGTTTTAAACTTGAATAAATTAATTACTCAAAGTACAATAACACACCTAACTGACTACAGTTGATAATGAAAGCAAATTATATTATCATGTTTGATTATAGATTGTCATATGATTTAATTAATTAAGCAAGACTACTATAAATATTTAAGTGAAAAGTAGATTATATTGGTGCTTAAGATTTGCATACCTATTGATAAATTATTTGCATGACTTGTATATTATAAATTAAATGTCATAATAAAAAAATTGAAATATATACTTTCATTTTTCTTGGCCATAATATATATTTGAAAAATTAATATTTTAATACTTCAAATTTTAACTTACTTATAATTCAGTTTCTTAATTATAACTTGACACAGTTCAACCCTTAAACCTTTAACTTGTCTATAACTTAACCTTTGGTATTTTCACATTTAATAATTTAATTCTTATCATATATAAATCATTTTGAATCATCAATTAATTATCTCTTGGCAAAAAAAAAGAAAAAATTACCTAACACATTCTAATGTGGGGAGAAAAAAAATCTCATCTAAGAACTCGTTTGAAATGACGATAGAATGACGATAGAATCCTTTAAAAGCTTGAAAAGTAAATTTTTAATCATAATTTACAAAATACAATATAAAGTATATGAGAAGAGTTTCATGTTGGATTGTGGAAACAAGTGCTTTTGGTATCACATGATTTCACACACGCACTAAATCAACATCCCCCTCCTATGCTTCTCACCCCACACCGCGGACCAAGTTCAGCTAATGCTCCGCCGTGTGCAGCCCAAGCCCGCTCCACAACAGTAATGATGGTGAAGACAGGTGTACTTGAGATGCTGATATTGCAATCTCGTGTGGTAGCAATGGAAGGTTAGTGGGGCCACAGAATAGTGGAGAGGATAGACCTGCTATCACCGGTGACAGGTTCAGAGTCACTAGCATTTGACTCCATAATCCTGCTTCTAACCAAGGTCAAACTAGAATTAATTTAAATAATATTTAAATGAAAAACATTAGTACAGAACAGTCATGTTTAAACCATGCTTAATCCAACAAAACACAGTTGCTAAAATACAAATCTTGTAGATTGTTATTCCTTTTAAACTCTGATGTCATTTCAGGGTTTAATGGGGGGGGGGGGGGCATCCCAATCTAGCTGTTCAAAACTCTTCATCGATCAAGGTAAGAGACTGATTCACCAGTTTAATCGAGTCAGGTTGAGTGTTAATTCTATGCTTATCACTAATATGTGAATATTCTTTTCTGCCTTACCTTAGCAAACCTCATGCTCAAATCACCTAAGCTTTCATTTATTTAAAAAAAAAAAATCAAGAAGTCATCTAAAGGTAGATTAGGTGACAATGATGGGATCGAGTATAGGTAGAGATATACAGTTTCAACCCTCATAATGTGTTGAAGAAAAAGAGAGAGAAGCACAAATTCATTGTCTCATATTCTTGAAGCACTGAGCCACAAACAATCCACGGCAACATTCTTTTTTTTTGGTTGCTTTGGTCTGAATGACATTCACGAGAACTTAAGCCTCTGATTTGAGGAAATTGTATGATATCTACAAGTCAACAATACCAATATGAAAGCAACTACATTCTATCAAAAACAAATTGTGAAATGTTCACTCAAAAAAAAAAAAAAACAAATTGTGAAATAAGCAAACTGTGGTATTGTCTTACGGGGAAGGTGGTGAGTCTAAAAACATGCCTCATTTCTGATTGTATACCACTCAAAAATACACTATGCTGAAAGTTGTTACAACGAGATCTTAGAGTTCATCCAATTCATTTTCTCCATATGGACTTAGCATTAAATGGTAATATTAAACCAAAAAAAAAAAGGAGACACGACAAAAAATATAATTGAAAAACTTAACATAAAAACTGTCAGGAACTTAACCTAAATATTGTCTTTTATTTATTTATTTTAGACTTTGGTTACCAAAATATTTAGATGGAAAGATTTCGAGAAGATTCCTCACTAAAACATTTGTTGTCTCATCGGAAGGTTGATTTCATGAACTTAAATCTTCAAACCTAACTTACTCCCGATCAGCAGGTGCAATATACTCCTCCGATCCTTAATATAAGACTCATTTAACCAATTTGATTAGATTAAGGAAGTTAGGTAAGTTAGTTAATTATAAGAAATGTGACATGTTTTTCCTAAAACACCATAATCATTTTTCTTAATACCACCTCTCCCTCTTCTACTTGATTGTGGTTGAGAGAGTATCCATAGGGGTAATTTAGAGAAACTTGATAAATATAATAAATGGGTCTTATATTTAGGACCAAAACCAACTCAATAATTAGATCCTATATTAAGGACCGGAGGAGTATATTATTTATTCCAAGACTAATAAAGTACTTCTTCTGATCCTAAAGGTAAGAACTCAGAGACAAATCTGCTTTAATCCTAAATGTAAGATTTCAATCCACTTTATCTCCTAAATTTATTTTTACTTTAACTCTACTGCACATATTAAGGGATGTTCAACCGAGGAAATATTTTCTAATACACATAACTAAAATGAGTACTTTAAAAAGTCAACTAGCTTAACTAATTTTTTTAATATCTATAAATTAGTTATTTAGATCCTATATTAACATTGGAAGAAGTGCTATAAAATGCTACCTATATGTCTGAAGCAACGTTCAAATTTTGTTCATTTTGATCCACATCATGTATCCTGCTTTGGAATGAAGATATAAATGAGAGAGTATATGCACACCTGAATAAGTTCACATGTTCTGGATTAATTCAAGTCCTTATCCAATGAGTAACTCAGTCTCTAAAGCTGTCAGTCCAATTCCAATAATTGGAAAAAAAAAAAAAACAATATACCTATCTTCCGGATTAATTCAAGTCCTTATCCAATGAGTAACTCAGTCTCTAAAGCTGTCAGTCCAATTCCAATAATCGAAAAAAAAAAAAAACTATATACCTATCTTCCGGATTAATTCAAGTCCTTGTCCAATGAGTAACTCAGTCTCTAAAGCTGTCAGTCCAATTCCAATAATTGAAAAAAAAAAAAAAACTATATATCTATACACATCTCAAGATGTTCATAAGGGTATATAACAAAATTCTGCCATGGTAATGACTACAAATGGAAGTCAGAAAGGTCACGTACTTCAGCCAAAACAGCAAAGGGGGATAATTCTACTGAGACATCGGTGTAGAAACTGTTCAGGTTTTTGTGTCATCGTTTATTGAAAAATAAACATCCAACATTATTTATGATTCAAGAAGAATATACGCAATGCAAAAGTTATAAAAAAATATTATTAGAAAGGAGAAGAGTAATATCAAGATGGAATATATCTGTCTAGAAAGAAAACCGTCGACCCTTGCACTCTTTCTTCCTCTCTAACATAATGAGCCTAGAAAGAAAATAAAATAAAAAATATATCCAGTTATCACAGTCAACTCAATTGTAAACAACTTCTGACTAACCCAGTCTATACAACTATCAGGGCAATTCCAATGTAATAAATCTAAGGCAACTAAGGAAGTTGAGTATTTGCAAATGACAGAATATTTAATAAGGATAATAGAGAAATGAAAACTTAACATGCTTTAAGCATATATAAGTCTCTTGAAACCTTCAAATACAGAAACTGTTCCCATTTTTCTGTCATGAATTATTGAAAATAAACCTGCAACATTATTCACTCTTTAGGAAGGAAGAATATATGATGTGACCACAAATATATCCTTCTATGCAAAACAAACATACAGTAGCAACAACAACAAGAAGCCTTAGCTCACTAGATGGGGTTGGCTACATAGATTGCATAATGTCATTATGATCTATTAACAACTAAATCTTTGAATAAATTGTTAAACAAAAAGTCCCGAATAATTTCATTGAGTGTTTTCTTCATTCTTCCTCTATCCCTTTTCAAAGGATTCTATACTATTTGATCCACCGTCCTCACTAGTGCATCCAATAGACACAAAACAGACAAGCAAATAAACAAAAATATCATGGCAAAAAAAGAACAATAAGAAGATCGAGTTATGACACACCCGAAGCAAATCTCTCTCTAGCATAGAAGAAATTCAAATCATAAAATCTAATAAGATTGTAAGAAAAGAATAATCACTGAAATAAATTAGTCAGACAGTGTTTACAGCTCCCCTGTTAGTAAGGTAATCTGAAAAGAAAAGCTTACCCTTCATTACCTCAACAAAGACAAACGATAACGAAACATTAATGGAAGAATTGAAAATACTTCAAAGCATCTCATCTAATGGCAAGCATTTTCTTCGACCTGTGGTTTTGAAATTAACCTCAATAAGCTACAAAAATAAATATGTTAAAATGACCTTACTTCAACGGAACTTTAAATCCTCATCCAAGATCACCAAGAACTAACTCTAACATTAAGCACAACTGAATATGCAGTGTATGTTTATGCACTCTTTCTTTCCTGTACATGCGAGGACTGTTAACATAAGCAAAGAATGAGATGTGATTTAAAAAAATTTGGGTGAGACCAAAATGGAGAGGATGAAGGAACTTTAAGAGGGAACATTACAATGTAAATGCAAAATTTCAAATAATCTCCAGTGGTAATCACATAGATTTGATATGTAGAATGACACAACAGTACGAAAAGTCTAGTTACAACTATAAGCCCTAGAATATATCAATAAAAAAGTTTGGGGGGCTGGGGGAGCTATATGAAAGTGAAGAACAATAAAGTAGATAAGAATCAACAAAGAGCCATAAATTAAGAAGTCTTGTAACCATACAATCAAGCTAACGCCACAAAAAGCTTCTCTAGCCATCATATTTTCTGAAAATAGCAAAATGTTTGAAAAATTCATGCAAGCATCATGCCATTTGTTCATTGCCGCTGAGAAAATTTCAAATTGAAGATCATCTAAGATGCAAGAATCCAAAGAAATTGGATGGAAGAGATAGAAAGTGAAGTTTGAGTTGTAGAAATGAAAGAAAGATATAGGAAAGACAAAGAAAAGTCTTGAGCTATAGAACTGAAGAAAAGGAGATGAAGAGGAGAGATTTGCATTTTTTTGATAAGGTTTGAATTCAAAACATTTATGATTTGGTAAAAACAAATGAGAAGAGGGCATTAAAGGCTAATGAGATTTTGTAAAGCATGAATTGACATCATAACAATTAACCATACAAATTTGAAAAAATAAACAAAACAAACAAAGGATACCCACCTTTAATACAAACAAGACACAATAAGCTGAAACATCACATGGCTTACTGTTTATAGCACAGATTGGTTCAGCTTACTGTTCCTAAAGCAAATTAGCCGCCGTGAAATTTAAGATATATATTGATATTGATGATTCTTGTACCTTAGATTGCCTTTGTAGTAATAAAAAAGAACAGTCCGTAATATAACTTGTATCATTTGTATTCCAATTCATTGCAACCTAATCAAAATAACTTCAAGAAAAATTATTTGTCCACTTCAATCTCTAAAAGAAATATATACAAAATTAATCATAAAATAAATAAGCATGTCAAACATGAATTTTACCAAGAAGCGTCTGCTATATTTAATGTTCAATTCCAGGCTTGAATTTTTCTATGCATACATATCTTCTCAGAGTCTCCTTGTTACCAAAAATCATTGCAGGAACATTTCCCATTAACAAAGTGATGAAAGCGATTAGCATCTCTAACAATAATCTCCCTCTTAACTATCTTTGATATGTATTTAGTAACAGTGTGACAATCAGCACAAACACGAAGGTTCTTTGTAATTCTAAGCAAGCTTCCGTATGGTGTGTTTAAAAGACCAAAAGCTATAGCCAATCTCTCACTATGTCCCCATAGCAACTTCACTTTCATTGGCTCATCCACATCGCGAAGAACACAACTTGTATCAGGCACATAACCATGAGCTTCAACCTCAACTCTCAAATTTTCTAATAACTCATAAATATCTGCCCATTTAGGATGTGAATCATCACCAGCAAAAAATGTGCATACCTGGTTTTCCACTTCAATCAAACTATAAGCAGGTGTTTTCTTCAAGCCCCTTGTCCTCATGAGGCTTCTTACATAATTTACAGATTCCCATCTTCTTGATTGGGCATATATATTTGATAACTTCACATAAATTCCACATTTCAAGTAGTCTGAAGATAGCAATCTGTCTGCTATTTCTACGCCCATATCAATGTTCTTGTGGGTTTGGCAACCACTAAGCAGAGCTTCAAGCACATCAGTGCTGGGTTCAAAAGGCATTTGTTTCACCAATGCCTCAGCTTCCTCCAGATGGCCAGCTCGACTAAGAAGATCCACAAGACAAGCATAGTGTTTTTCAGTAGGCTTAATGTTATGATCCCTTTCCATGCTATGAAATAAAGTCTTACCTTCTTCGATAAGTCCTGCGTGGCTACAAGCTGCTAGGAGAGAAACAAATGTAGCATGATTTGGCTTAAGGCCTTCCTTTATCATTCTATCATAGACACCAATAGCATGGAGTCCATGACCATGCATGCCATAACCCATGATCATAGAGTTACAAAATATTACATCTTTTAAATGGAATCCATGATTGAATAGTATCTCAGCTGAGATAAGTTTACCACATTTGACATACATATCAATCAAGGCTGACATATTAACCACATCAAATGCATAACCATGTCGGATTAAATGACAGTGGATGCTCATACCCTTCTTGAGAGATCCCATGTGGGCACAGCAATGTACAAGACTAACAAGAGTGACAGAATTTGCTGACACATTCTCTTCTTGCATCTGAATGAAAAATTTCAGGGCATCCTCTGCATAGCCATTTTGTGATAAACCCACCAGCATAGCTGTCCAAGTAATCACATTCCTTTGTTTCATTCTTCCAAAAACAGTAGTTGCCTGCTTTGCAGCACCACATTTAGCATACATGTCAACAATTGCAGAGGACAAAATTAGATTTGATTCAAATCCTTTTCTTATGACACAAGCATGGAGGATCTTTCCGCTCTCCAAGTTACATGTGTGGGAACAACCCTGAATAAGGCTCACCAAGGTTCCTGAATCAAATGAGGCACCACTAAGAACCATTCCATGAAAGAGCAAAAATGATTCATGTATCATACCATTTTGAACATATCCTGAAATCATGGCATTCCAAGAAACCAAATTTCTATCAGACATGCTATTAAAAACCCGACAAGCACTTTCAATGTCTTCCACATTACAATACATATCTAGCAATGCTGTAAGCACCAAAACATCCTCGCCCATCCCTAATGCAAGGATGCAACTATGAACACATCTTCCAAGCTTAAGAAGTCCACTTTCCCTACATGCCTTGAGTATGGTTACCATAGTTACTGGGCTTGGACGGATTTTATCACCTATCATATAGAAAAACATTCTGATTGCTTCCTTAGAGAGGCATTGCTGTACATAACCTCCGATAATTGAATTCCAGCAAACAACATCTCTTTCAGGCATTTGATCAAACACTTTTCTTGCTTCGTCCAGATTGCCAGATTTTACCAAAAAATTAATCATCGAACTGCCAAAATAAGGGTCTAAATGAAACCCCCTCGAAACAGCTATCCTATATATTTTCATACCCATTTCATTATCTATTAAGCCAGTGCAGCCCTTAAGTGCAAAATTGCATGTATAACTATCAATATCTATATTACGAGCGTCCATCAATTTGAATAGCTGGAGAGCCTCATTGTATTGCTGGTTTTCTGTGTACCCAGCAATCATGGCATTACAAAGAATGGTTTTTGGATGAGAAACATGATCAAACACTTGACGGGCATTGTTGAGAAGGCCCAAATCAGAATAGGCCTCAACAAGTTTGGATACCACAAATTGATCAGCAGATGCCGAGCTTGTAATAATCTGTGCGTGGACGGACTTGACATGGACACGGCTTTTTGAGATTCTCTTTAAGAGCGAACAAAAATTGCAGACCACGGGAAGAGATTGATTGAATGGGGCATCTTTAACAGAAGCAAAGCTTGAAAATGCAGAGGCTTGAATGAGCCTGCAGGTGACTCTGATGTGCAAATAAGATAAAAACATGAACTAAAGGAGAATAAAGCAGGAATGACGTTAGGTAATTTTTCTTCTGAATCCATCAATCATTCTCATAGAGAGGAGGATCCCTTCAAAACTTGAAACAGGGTGGATGAAGAAAGTAAAACAATGATGTCGTTATCTTCTCCTTCGATTGAATTAGCCGCTTCCTTCACAGGGTCTAATCAGTCCGTTTCTCACCAGATCACCTCTTTCAACTATTCCACCATAGCATCAAAAACACAGCATATTGGAAAGGAGAAAGACTCAAGCCACGCACTGGAAGAACATCAAGCACCAAAAAAAAAAAAAGATTATCAAGGAGAAATCAGATCCATGTGTCCGCACTCCGCAGGCCGTAATTTGGACCAACCCGCCGGTTATACTGATTTTTAACAGAGTGATATTTTTCCAACCTAGCCCGTCTCATCATTTTTAAAAAAAATTTTTTTGCCTTTTGTTTTCTTCTAATAAAATTTATTTTAATTCTTAAACAACTAAAATAAAATATGTATATAGAAATTATCATAAATAAAATATGAAATCCAAAGTTCCAAACATTACAAAATACTACTATAAGCATACATGATACATTATCCTAAATGATTAAACATACATCCCAAATTAAAACATAACAAATCTAAATTAATAATAATATAAATACAATGTTACAAATCACTATCAAGTACTCAACCATGAGCCACCATTTAATGTTAATATAGTTCGAAGAATAATATGAAGATGTGAAATTATTTAGTTAAGTTTCATAAGTAGAATAACCTTCTTTTTGCTGAACTAACTTTGTCACAAATAAAATTCATAATACAAAGTAAAAGATATATTACATTATGGTAATTTTAAATAATAAGGATGAAATAAAAGACCAAAGGAGTAAACATAATTATATTTAAGGAAGGGGAAAAAAAAGGGGCCAGCCTGCCAACCCGCCCGTTGCGGGTTTAGTCTTGACGGTTACAGACTCAAAAGATCCATTTCAAATGAGTCTGATTTTTATCAACCCAACTCCTCACTTCTTGGCGGGTTGAGCTCGCATATTACCGGCTCTACATGTTTTAAATATATGCGCAGAAAAACTCGAGCCTTAATTGGTTCAACTAAGGGGGAGGGGAGGAGAGGTTAATTAAAAGAAGGGAAAAGGAGAAAAGGAGGTTATGGGTTTTGTTTGGTTAGAGGAGAGGAGAAGGGAGGGGAGATTTCTTGTTTGATTCATAAGAGGGGGGGGAGAGGTAATTATAAATTGACAAACATGTCCTTATCTTTGTATTTAGGCTACTTTGTTCTTTATTACAATATTTATAACAAAATTATTATTTTTTAATTCATCAATTAAAAAAAGGGAAAATGACAAGAAAATGACTGTTGAATTCTGAAATGACAAAATGGGCATGTAAATTACTGAAATGACAAAATGGGCATGGGGTATCAATATGGAATTTGGATAATTCGCCAAAAAGACTGAAATGCCCTCAATTTTTTCGGGAATCAGAGGGCGGGATATTGTGCAACGGAACTAGAGTTTGGTTGGCGGTTCTCCACTCGGCGAAACTGCATAGACCATAGGGTTCTCCGAACTCTCACATTGCACTCGGCGAAACTGCATATGGTTGTCGCAAGTCTCACATTGCCATGGTTGAGGAACTGTGAACGAGGAATGTGAATAGCGTCCGGCTTCTTCGTCTTTTCCGTGGGTCGCAGTGAGAAGCAATAAACTAGTGAGAAGCTTCAATCTTCAGAAGGGAGAGGGGGTGGCTAGAGAGAGAGATTCCGAGGGAGAGCACCTGTAAGGTCGTCACCGGTTGAGGAAGAAGTCGATATTCGTTCTGACCCTGGTAAGCCACCTAAATCTCTCCGTCTTGTGCTTGTCTGATTGGAGTGTTTTGATTTGGGGAAAACGGTGAATGTTGGTTGTAAAGGGGGAAGCAATGGTAAAGGCTTAAAATGGAATGTAAAGGTAGATTAGATTAAAAGTCGGTGCTTCTGTGTGTGACGGAATTACAGAAGTTGCTTGCTTGCTCTGATTCATATAACTCAGTCCATGTTTGACGAGATATCTCTCTGATTGTTGTTGTCTGATTGTTGTGTTGCTGTAATGTTGGAAGGCATAATATACGTGTGTGTTTATGATTGCTACACTACTTTTTAGAAGCCCATAAATTGAGACCACTGTCGCACATGAGCCAGTGGATGCTTCCTGTTTCCGCCCCCTTGTTTGGTCTGTTCGTGTAATGGACATTGCACATTTTTAGCATTGTGTATGGGACTAAAATGAGTTCAACTATATCCCCATATTGGTTATGCAAATTTAACATTGTAAAATAAATTGAAAGGGGTGACTCTTCGTGGGTAGAACTCTGTTTTGAAGATATAGCTACCTAATGGGCATAACCTCAGTCATTTAGCGGTGCAATTTACCTGGGGATGAACATGCATATTCATTTCAGTATGTACCAAGTGAGAATAACCTTTGTGGCCTTCTTATGTATTGCTATTATTTACTTGGTTATCTGTGGCACTGTGTAGTAGTAATTTCCATAATATAAGTTACTTGAAGATGCAAATTTTGTAACATTTCATCGAGAAAGAATCACTTTTGATGCATATTCATTTATTTTTTAATCTGTTGGTCTGAGGATTGAAGAGGTAGAGATTAATCTGCTGGTTTGAGGATTGAAGAGGTAGAGGTCGCTGAAGTGCTGAGAAGCATCAATCGCATTGCTATCATGGAGGAGGTTGGCGAAGTAACTGTGACTGTGACAAACGGTAATATGCAGTTGTAATAGGAATTAAGTGGTTGAGTTATATAGGTTTGGTAAGATTAGATTGTTTTTAGTTTGTTGTTAAAGTGTATTATGTCGTTAGTCTCTATTTTCTGCTCTGTTCTGTGAAGTGAGAAAGAAGCAATAACATTCATTACGTGATCAGCAAATTTAGTTATCTAAGTAGTAAATAGTCGAGGTTCATTTTGTGGCTAAATAACAACACCTATAATGTGAATGACTACACTGGAAATGGTAATGACAACTTTTTTGAAATGTAAAGAAAGTTGAGCTGTTCAACTGACCAGATTTAGTTATTTATGCTTGTTGTAGAAGGAGGGCCAAGTGAAGAAGTGAAGAATAGCTACATGTTGTTTAGACGAGAATTTCTTAAGGGTGGGGAGAAGTTTAAGAATATGTCTGAACAAGTGAAAAAGGCATCAAAGGCATGGAAGCAGTTGACACCAGAGGAGCAGAAGAAATACAATGATAGGGTGAAGCAATCAAGAAAGAAAGGGATGAAGAAGAAGAGGAAGAAAAAAGTGGCTTTTAGCACTCGTTGCTTGGTTCGGCAATTTAAGTCATTAGTGGACTTCATAAAAGATGATGAAGATTTGAAAGTGAGGGTACAAAATTTAGGCTTTGGCCATTTACTTGACATTGGATGTGAGAGACTCCCTCGTGACCTCATAGTATGTGTTCTCCGAGCATATGATCCGCCTACCCATCAATTTCTAATAAGAGGGATAATAAAGGAAATAGAAGCAAATGATGTTGCAAACTTGTTGGGTGTACCCCACACAGGGGAGAAGGTAAAAATGGACGTATGTGATGATGATGAGACATACCAGAGGTTGAAGGAGGAATTTGGTAAAGTCCCTTATACGAAGATACTCAATGACATTAAATCTGGGCAGAAGAAAGATGAGTTTGAGTTCTTGTTTATGCTGTACACACTTGGGAGTTTTTTAACTCCTACTTCACAAACAACTATGAGTGACAAGCTAATAAGAGTCATGTGCTGTACCATGAAGGGATTTCACCAATTTGATTGGGCCACGTACATTGTGAAGCACTTGTGGAAAGAGATGGGAGATTATGTGAAAGTGTACACAAAAGCAAAGAAAGACGAAGATGAAGATGAAGGAAGCTGCAATGTGGGAGGATGCATCTACCTCCTGTTGGTATGTATTTCTGACTTATGCTTCTAAGTTATTGTTTTCTTTATTTGTGGAATTGGCAAGTTAATGATTTACTGTTGTAGTTATATTTTGCTGAGCACTTCCCACTATCCAAAACTGTTGAGAGAGGGTCCCTAAATGCCATTCAATTCTGTACTGATGAGAGGATAAGGAAGCTGGAAAAGAAGGAGAGGGAAAGCAAGAGGGGTTTACTGTATAAGGGCAAGGGAAGTATGGATAGAAGTGGGAAGGATGAAGGAAAACGCAGAAGTGTGGGTCATTTACACCCGGTATGTGCTTTCGTTACTAATTTTCATTCTCATTAGCAAATAATCTCATGAAAAAAGTGTTTACTCATTTTAAATTGTTTGCTGCAGGAGTTATAGAAGTTGCACGGACGATTGATGGCTCAGATCGAATTAAGCACTAGGAGGCTTATAAGTGCAATGGAAGATGAGCTAGATAAGGTGCAGATAAGGATAGAGGAAAATAATGTGACCACAGATGATAAGGACCCTATTGACGTCCCAGATGATGATAAGGGAGATGATGATGCATTTGGCGATGAGGACCCCCATGATCATGATGGACATGAGTCTGATCACGAAGGTGATGATAGAGATGAGTTCCACGGGGGAGATGATCAGGGAGACGATGATGCAACTGGCTCAGATAGGGGTGATGACATCGGTGTTGCAGCAGAAGGTGCAGACAAAGAAATTATGGAGTCTCCCCTGCCCTTTTCCCCCATGGACAAGGGATGTCAACTCCGGAGGTCGCAAAGGGAGATGAAATCCGCTATCAATTCTCCATGGATTTTGACAAAGCCAATTAAGAGGCGAAAGAGGCCCATGGATGACAAGGACTGGTTTTATGACATAGTTTCCCGTATGTGTTCAAGCAAGGAGGGTGACATGTATGTACATATCCACTACCCACGTAATCATATTCATTACAATTTTGTGCTAATTGACTACATGCATAATGATATTGACAACATATTTTTAGGCCTTTGGTGAAAATCTCTGATGAAGATATCACTCGGGATCAGCTAAGACACTTGGTGGAATTGAGAAAATAGGTAACCGGGTAAGTAGAATATTTGTGATGAGGTCATTTAATTGTTTAGTAGATGCTGTGTTTTGGGTTCATAAAAACAATCATCTCTTTGCGTACAGCTGATGTCAACTGTGTGCAAGACTCTAATGGCTGATATGGAGAAGGAAGGGCAGGTGAAGCGGCACATTTTTTATGCTGATTTTATGGTAAGCTTGCTGAGATGTTAGTTTTTTGTCGATTGATGTTGATAAATGACTAAAATGTTCATGTTTTAGGCAATAATGGCAGCTAACCCAAAGCTGTGGGATGCTACAAAACGGAAGAAACAATTTTTACCTGAAAATGTAGGCTACAACATAGGAGAATGTGATTTGATCTTTGGACCCACACTTGTTGGCGCTCACTGGTTTTGTGTTGTGCTTGAGCCTAGCACAATGAATTTCTGTGTGCTGGACTCAATGAAGCCAAATTTAGAGGGTAAGAAGAAGAGCAAGAAGAAGGGTGTAATTATTGATGACATGACGACCGTGGTCACTGAATGTGTAAGGATAATGTAACTCATCTTCTATGATTGACATTTCATTTACCTTTTATTTACAATTGCGTAATGATATTGTGCAGAGGAATAGATTTTATGACATTATTGAGATAGTTAAGCCTAATGCCACTGGGAAGAAGAAAATGAGTGATATCATTTGGGCTCCTGTTCCGCAGCAAAACAATCTGTGAGTGGTTTATGTTGTTGATATTATTACGTCTCAAAGTAGCCCAATGTGTTATTTTCATTCTTTTACATCGTTGGGATGTTTTGATGTGCAGGCGAGACTGCGGCGTTCATGTATTAATATGGTTGAGTAAATGGAAGCCCGGTGAGATACTTCACTATACGGATGAACAAGTGGCTGAATTCCGACGAAACCTCATGTGGTGGCTAGTGAATCATGAGCTTAATTCAAGACGTGATGAAGCATTAAGCTTGCTTTCATCAACCCAAGCCACCACACTGACCAAAAGACGGCATCTGTGATAGGAGGAGACATTATGTAGATTAGGCATATAGTACTTGTAAAAGGAGTGTTAGTTTGAAGTCTTAATATTTGACTTATGGTTGGAGGTACTAAGTGGCTGCCAGTTGTTGGCCTAATTGCAATCCTTTTTGGGATAATTTGAGTAAAAAAGTTATGGTATTTACAACATGCCATGTAACTTCCGTGATGATAATCACAAGTTGATTATTTGTGCCCTGAATTACATCTACTTGGACCCAGGTTCACTACACAAGTAATAGGATTAACAACTTTCGGATTGAGAATTGCAACCTCTGTAATGATAGTTACCACATCGCTGTTGCCATTTGCATCTAAAGTCTTTTAAGCCCAAATCACGTTTTTTGAATCCATTTTCTCTACCCCAGTAATGATAATGAGAATGTTCGTACTGATAATTGCAACCTGTGTAATGATAGTTACAATCTTCTTATTGCCTTTTTCAACTCTGCATGTTCATACCCAATTAACACTTTTTTAACGGAAATCCACTACCCCGGTAATGATAATCACAACATTTGTAATGAACATTGCAACTTTTTTAATGATTGTTACCACCTCGCTATTGCTTTTTGCAACTGCATTTTCGTCCCCACGTATAAATTGTCACAGAATTTCACAACCTGGGTAATGAAAATCACAACATTATTAAGGGAAATTGCAACTATAGTAATGACATTTACCACTATGGTTTCCCCATTTGCATCCCCATATTCAGGAAATTGTCCCATTTCCGGTTCCTTTAAGTCAAACCCACGCATCAAATTGTTCAGGAAATTTAACTACCCCCGTAATGATAATGATAACATTGGAAATGTTAATTGCAACTTCAGTAACGAGATTTACCAGTCTGCTTTTCCAATTTTTGGTTCCCTTAACTCAAACCCACGCATCAAATTGTTCATGAAATTTTACTACCCCCGTAATGATAATGACAACATTGGAAATGTTAATTGCAACTTTAGTAACGAGATTTACCAGTCTGCTTTTCCAATTTCTGGTTCCCTTAACTCAAACCCGCGCATCAAATTGTTCATGAAATTTTACTACCCCCGTAATGATAATGACAACATTGGAAATGTTAATTGCAATTTCAGTAACGAGATTTACCAATATGCTTTTCCAATTTCCGGTTCCCTTAACTCAAACCCACGCATCAAATTGTTCATGAAATTTTACTACCCCCGTAATGATAATGACAAAATTGGAAATGTTAATTGCAACTTCAATAACGAGATTTACCAGTCTGCTTTTCCCATTTTCAGTTCCCTTAACTCAAACCCACGCATCAAATTGTTTATGAAATTTTACTACCCCCGTAATGATAATGACAACATTGGAAATGTTAATTGCAACTTCAGTAACGAGATTTACCAGTCTGCTTTTCCTATTTCCGGTTCCCTTAACTCAAACCCACACATCAAATTGTTCATAAAATTTTACTACCCCTGTAATGATAATAACAACATTGTAAATGTTAATTGCAACTTCAGTAACAAAATAGCATCTGTGTTGACAAAATAGCATAGAAGTACACCAGAGAGCATCATAGGATGTCTACATTAACATTCAGACTTTACTATATGTGTAATGGAATTTACCACTGAAGTGACAATATTTACCAAAAACCAATAGGCCCATCACAGAAGCTACATAACTTATATTCAAATGACAAGTTAACAGTAAGATTAACCCACCACCTAATGTTTCCTCGTCATTCACATCACAAAACATATCCTACCCAGTGAATATCATTTACAAAAAGGATAGCCTACCCATCATACGATTTTTACATTAGCATTCAGACTTTACTATATCTGTAAAGGAATTGACTACTGAAGTGATAATATTTACCAAAAACCAGTAGGCCCATGACAGAAGCTACATAACTGATATCCAAATGACAAGTTAACATTAGGATTAATCTACCGCCTAATGTTTTCTTGTCATTCAGATTATAGAACGTCTCCTACCCAGTTAATATCATTAACAAAAAAGATAGCATACCTATCAACCCTTCTCCCAAAAAAATTAAAAAGGGTTCAAGAGTCATTCCATTCCTATAACAAAAAAATTACCCCTGTTGGTATTGACATGAGACCTTAAGTTGGGCTTGGATTCTTGCATGTTCTTCTTGTGTGGCCAACTTGCTGGCATGCACTACAATGGTACACCTTCTTGTTTTGAAACAGCGACTCTTGCCTATTTATCCTAGGCCTTCCAGGTGGTCGACTAGTCAAAGGTGGTGCCAAAAACACTTGACTTGCTATATCTTGCAGCCGATAGTTATTAGGATTTGGCATGTCGATTGTCACCACTGGAGTCATCGTCCTACCATAAATCTTTTGTTGGGACATAATCTTGTAGCATTCTTGAACAAAATCATACACATTGCAATTCAAGGCCTTGATAGCTGCACATGCATGTGGGCATGGGATGCCTGACATTTGCCAAGCTGCACAACTACATTCACCTTTTTCAAGATCAACATTAATGGCTCCTTTTGCTGTATAGACACACACCCTACCCCTTTCGTAAGAAACACTTAACATCTGTGCAGATCTCGCTACATTTTCCATCAATGTTGCATTTGTATTTGGGCCTACACCATTCTTCCATTTGCTCATTGCCATGCTTGCTACATACATCTTCTTGGCTACTTTTTCACGATGCTCATGTATAAGTTGGGCAACATTATATCTTCTCTCCTTCAGCATCCACGCATTGAATGACTCTGCAAGGTTTGTTGCTATGTTGTCCCATCGTTTAAAAGGGAACTTGCTTAAAGCCCACTTGTGAATATCACCATGATTGACAAGCCATTCAAATAATTGGGAATTGAAATGTCTCATGTTATCCATTGCTTGATCAAACTCTGTGTCAAGCCTTACATATGTAATGGCATCTAGGAAATGCAGTCCATCCTCCCTTGTGTTGCCACTTGTCTTCCTTTTTCCTCTATTTAACTTGATCATTTGTGTACTGAAATTCTCCTTAACATGTCTATAACAGTACGCATGTCGCTCACCTCCGAATATTGCTTGCACAGCACCTATAATTACATTGTGTCAGTCTGAAATGATTGTTAATTGCATTGACCCAACTATCTCCTTAATCATATGTAAGAACCATGTCCAATCCTCAAGCGTCTCTCCCTTCACAATCGCAATGGCAAAAGGTAATAATTCGTTGTCCGCATCATAAGCCGACGCTGAAAGTAGTGTCCCCTTATACGGTCCACTTAAATGACTTCCATCAATATACAGTACATGTCTAGCACTAGCAATAAAACCCTCTATACAACACCCATAGGCTATGAATACACGCTCAAATCTGTTGTTCCTTGCAGCCACCCATTTTGCCACTATTTTGTCATCGGTTTCCTTCAGCCAGTCACATATCCATGGAATAAGCATGTAAGTTTGATCAGGTCTGCCATGTATGTCCTCCAACGCTTTTTCCTTGGCCCTGTATGCTTGGTTGTATGTCAACTTCACATCATAATCTCTTTCCAACCTCTTTTTTATATCATTTAGACGCATGTCTATATGATCCCTAACCTCTTCAATTATAATTGATGATGTCAAGCTAGCTGATCCACCATGTGTCACGTGAAGATTGTCTTGGGCATTATGAACATGCTCATTTTTTAATGTCGTTACACGTAAAAATGCTGGAGTACTCTTTCCAGCTGCTCTCGCACTGATCCTCCATGGACAACCTTCAACATTGCATTTGACATACATATGGGCATTAGAATTCTTCACATATTTATACTCAAATTTGTTTGCAATGCTGAATTTGTGTAGTTTCTTCTTGAGATCATTCGCATCTGGAAAAGTCTGCCTCAATCCTAACAATACTGTCTTCCATTTCAGGGAATTCATTCCTGGCAAAGGAGTTGGTGCACTCTCTTCTGCATATGGCAGGCTAAGAACATTTTCAGCTGCTATGTAATTCACACATTCGACAGCATCCTCAATCATTGGCTCATCATTTTGCTGTGATAGTCCCGACAGTTTTGACATGTTGCATGTATAATTACAACATTTGTTATGATATTAACAATAACATTATCGCAAGTAACAACTTCCATAATCCGAAACTTGTGACTTATGTAACATCCAAACTTTTAGGCCTACAAGTTCAAAAAGTAGCCTAAATTAAATAGGTTACCAGACCCCTGTGAGCAGAAGTCCCAAAGACGAGAAAGGAAGTTAAAGCAGTTTCAGGGACTAAACTGCAAAGTAAAAGTTTTCAGGGGCTCGAGTATAATTAAGGTTAGAGGCTCCAGTAAAGTCTCGAAGGCCCAAAAAGAGAAAAGAGTCTAGATACAGGCCAATGGGTAAGTTAGAAACCTCAAAGAGATGGTTCTATAAGGTTAGGCTTAAGCAGGGGTAAAACCGTAAATTCAAAAAGTTATAACCAGCAAGGGCAAAAATGGAAGAGTGTACAAAAAATTCCAAGAAAATCCCAAAAAATGGGAAATAATATTCTAAGACTCTTCTATTAAGAGAAAAGATGAAAATACCCTTGAGGCAGCTTAAATGGAATTTATGAGGTTGTGACCGGTAAAAAGTATACCGTTTGAGGTAATTATTTGAAATAGCAAGAGACCTCAAAAGTGTATACAAAAATGAGGTTAAAGGGTTGAAAGGTTATACTAATTTATAAAATTAGTCCCATAACCAAAAGGCCAGTAGAGTGGCTTTAAGAAATTAAAGAGCCGGTTTTGCCGATAAAAGGGTATTTTAGTAAATGAATTTTATGCAAGGCTTAAAGGAAGTGTTATGGGCTAAGAAAATTCATAGATACTCTCTAAAATTAAAGAGAATTTATGGATCTGACAGAAAATAATTACAGAGGCCAGAGCACTGTAATTAGAGAAAAGAAGTTAAACCCGGAGTAAAAGTGCACCGATAAAGTATTAATCAGAGTCTTGCACTTTACTTGGGCCACAAGTCGCCACTTGTCAAGCCTTTAATGGATGGTAATTAAAGCTTTCCAAGTGTCAACCTACCAATGGAGAGGATCTTGACTTTGGAATTTAATTACATTATGATTTAAGTTAATTAAGAGAGAGGATTAAGATTAAGTAGGCTAATGACACTTGGCATAACATTAATGATGGTTGGTGGGATATTTTGTACACATTAATAAGCTCATCTCTCCCCTAAATCAGATGGGAATTTCGTGTAAGGCATGAAGAAAGGGAAAAAGAGAGAGTTTTGAGGGGAAACCAAGAGAAAGGCATCAACTTTGGTCATACAATCAAGGTTCAAGGTGAGTTCTTGGCTCTAGATGTGTTTTTGCCTTGGTTTCTTTCTCTTTTATGGTTGAAAATATGTCTTCTCTCCCTTTTGATGGCTGGTCGAAATGGTTGATGAGTGGGGAAGGGAGTTTGGTTGTTAGATCTTGCTAGAACACCTCAAAGTATGGTAGATCCAAGTGGATCTATGTGAAAATTGGAAGAATTACGTGCTGATTTGATGGCTTTTTCGAATTATTTACTGTTCATATCTGGTTCTGAAATTTGGCATGCTTAAATTACACTCTGTGAGATTTAAATCCATGGGTAGAACACTTCATTTGGATATGTGTACGATTTATGGTGATTTTTCAAAGTTAGGGTTTGAAATCTGGAAACAGTGTTAAGCTTTTGGAAGGGTGTCGAGTTTCGTACAATTCTGGTACTGTTTGGCATAGAATTGGTTCCTGAAACTATTTTTCCTTTAAATTTAACTTAATTAGCTTTCAGTGAGACTTGGAATCACTCAATTTGGATTTTTATAGATTTAATTATGAATTTTCAAAGTTGAGCAAAAATTCTGGAGATTCTGCGTGAACAGTACCCGCGAACCAAAATTTCCAGATTTGATATTCTTGAATCTAAAGCCATCTAAAGTGGTCCTAATTGATAGGAAATAGATCATAAGGATGTAAAATGATAAGATTTATATTAGAAAAGTTAGAAAGAAACCCTAAGACTAAGAGAAAGGGTTGAGGTTCAAGAAAGCTAGTCTTGAACTTTATGTAATCTAATGGTCCTAATGGATTGTGTCATCATTATGGTTATGTTTAGGACCTTTGGAACATCCAAGAGGATGTTTAGTGATGTTGACCGAATGCCCACATGGTTGAAAAGTCAAGGGAGTCAAAGGAAAAGTAAGAGGAAAGCTTGAGGTGCAAGGTAGTGAACTTACCCTTTATGTGCTTGACATGGTATGCTTATGTGTTGGTTTGTATTTGTTGTTTGAATGATGTTGTGACATGATGATTGTTACTGGAAATGCTGTTTTTAATATGTTCCCATGGCCATGCATTTTTATACCAAGCATAAAGCATGATGGCATGTCACTAGTTAACTTAAATTTATGAAAAACTACATACCATACACTAGCATCCATCTTGTGCATGTATGTGGTAATGTTTGCTACTGAGATTCCCCCGAATCTCACCCCCCTAACCAGCCATTTAGGTCAAATCAATGATGGGCACTAAGGGCATGAGAAGCAAGGAGAAGAAGTGGAGAATTATTAATGCTAATGATTGATGTTATTATTCAATGTATAATTCTCCTATATTGTAAGTTATGTTATGAATGCCATCAATTCAATCTATATGCTTAGGATGTTTATGGCATGAATGAAAGTATATGAGTATGAATGAGAAAGATTAAGGCCATGTTAGGTATGCCAAAGAAATAAAAGAATTAAAATAAAGAGATATTAAGGGATAAAACGTAGGTCCTGAAGCAGTTAATTTCAAGCTTCAGTTTGACCTATCATATGAATGAGTTAAGCTACGGAATTTGGTACACTTATAATGCATATCCCAAGCTTTAAAATGAGTGGTAAATCACATCATTTGGATGTGTATACAATGAGATATGAATTTTCGAAGTTAAGGCGCAGAATCTGGAAAATCCAGATTTTACCAAATGAATAGTAATTTTAATCCAATAAACTATACGTTTTCAGTGAGGATGAGTTCAGTTGAATATTTTTTCCTTAAAGAGCATTGAAAGAGCTTTCCGTAGAATTTTGCAACACCTCCATACGATTTTTCTAAAATTAGTTATGATTTTTCAAAGTTGGACCTGTAATCTGAAAACTGGACAGTGAACAGTAATTTTCCGAAAATTAACGTCCAAATTGAAAATTTTAAGTGTAAGACCATCCAACATGGTCTGGAATGATTCTAAATGAATGCTAAGGTACTATATAAGTAAGGTGTGACAACTTACCTGTTTCGATCAGCCACTTCTTCCTCTGTATTCTCATTACCTTTAGCTGCTACGTAAACATGTGCATTACTATCATTATACTCAAATAGGTTGTCAACTTCATCATCATCAATAAGATCTATTAATATCTTATCATTCAAGCCCAATGTGTATTTAATGTCACAACCATTACTATCTACACCAAACCATTCTCCTATCATAACCCTCAAATCTTCAAGCCTTATACCCTCCTTGATCACTCTTACCTTGACAGTTCCATCATAGTACTTAACTTCACCATCACCATTTTCTGCAAACTTCCCACCCACATGAAAGTAACAAGCAAGATGCTTTGAAGATGTTGACCCAATGTTAGATGTCATCAAAGCTACCTAACCTGCACCAGAGAAGCATAAATCAATATTTTAGTTCCCCAATAATCAATTTCATTTATCAGGATTTCAAAACTTTTCTTACGATTTCACAAAAAATGCAACACCCAAAAAATGCGCACACACACTTACTGCATTGACAACTTAAATATGGGATTTCACAATTCCAATAATGAATTTGACAACACTGACCACCTCATGCTTACTGTTAGCCCTCAAACTTCATGCCCACGTTATCAGTTCCCACCATTTTTCTATTTCTGATGTATCACTCTCTCATCCTGGTCAGATTCTTCATTTAAACCATCTACACTCATAAACCCATCCCTATTAGACCATGTACCAGTAAACCGACTTGAAAACCCAAACCCATCATTAAGCTCCACTTTCTTACGTAATACCCACGTTCAACCCCTCTCTCACTACAAACCAGGTTGCCCACAAAGCAATTCCACCGTAATAAATCAGATTTGTAGAATGGTGAAAGTTGGAGGAGTATATAAGAGCATTTTAGGGGAAATTTTCCTTACCTTTTTCATCTTCTTAGCGTTCGACTCTGCTCCACCTCTGTTTTCAGCTTCTGATCTCTCCCTCTTGTTACGTGTCATGTCTTTGTTCTTCATGAGTTCAGACTGATTCAGGGGCATTTCAGTCTTTTTGGCGAATTATCCAAATTCCAGATTGATACCCCATGCCCATTTTGTCATTTCAGTAATTTACATGCCCATTTTGTCATTTCAGAATTCAACAGTCATTTTCTTGTCATTTTCCCTTAAAAAAAACAATTATCTCACTTACATGTGATAAAAAAATTATGATAAGACTAAAAAAAATTCAAAAATATGGTAAAAAGTTTAACATTCTATCTCGTTAATTTTATAATTATAATACACACGCATATGTGTTAATATATATATATATATATATGATATGTATATATTATATAATTATAATACATACACGCTATGATATGTATATATTAATATATATATACATGTTTGCAACCCATATGAGATTATAATACACACACACATACACACACCATGATATATAATTATAATACACACATGTTATGATATGTATATATTATACAATTATAATACATCGCCCTCTATCAATGTATACTTATCATATTATATTAAGAAAAAAATTACTGTCATGATAGAAATGTTATATTATCATTATCAAATATCATTAGTTCATTACATAATTGGCAACATTAATGTCACCTAACATCAAAAATCCCCAAACGGTTAGTAGACTAAATATTTCCTAAGTCATTTATAATAGGCAATATCAAGGTCACCTAACATCAAAAGTCACTAAATGGTTCACAAAATATTTCCTAAGTCATTCATAATTGGTAATATCAAAAGTCTCTAAATGATTAGCAAACTAATTTCCCAAGTCA